GCGGGGTGGGGAGGGCCAGGCCGAAGGCGCGGGTAGGGTCCTGCCCCTCCCGGGCTGCCATTTCCCCGGGCCGTGAAGATTTATTCCTTTTTTCCGCCATCCTTTAACATCGGCGAGAAACTGCGTGGCCCATGGCCTACGGGAGGGTGTCAGCCTCGGCCCCCGTCACCTGGTGTGGCCTCCGGCAGATCTCGCAGCCAGGGTCCTCCAGAATAAAGAAAAATACGAGTAAATGGCAGAGAGGAGTTGGGTTTGTGCAAGCAAGGCCGGAATTTTAACCCCACTGTTTTGAGCTGGCGGTGTTTTCCGGCCAGGATTTCCCCCTGCGCCACTGGTCGCTGTGGCGAGGTTGTGTAGGAAAGTGTAGCCCATAGAGGCTCCTCTAGCAAAGTGTGAGCTCCTACAGCAAAGCCGAGCGTTGCCCCTCTGCTCACCTTCAGTCTCTCTCTTTTGGCAGGTGCTGAGCCACGATGGGTTTTGCCGAAGACAAAGTGTACGACTACATCTTGAAAAACCTCCGGAATTTCAAGAACATCCGTGTGGCGTCGCTGGCTGATTCCCTGAGCTGCCTGACTGATGCTGACAGAGTAATTGCCTGCTTTCCCTGAGTCCTGCCGGGCTCCTTCCCCCCCAGATAGCTCAGGCAACCTCTAGCTGCCTTACCTCTGAGCCAAACCTTTTCTTAAATGCCCCATGTGTTTTATTTAGGATGAACTTCACTCTCGGGAGGAGATGCGAGGGAGCCAAGCGACCGTGTATAGGTTTTACCAGCACCTGAAGTGCCGGCAGGGCTGGGTGCCGGATCTGATCGATGCGCTGCGCCACAACAATGCGGGGCACCTGGCTGACGAGCTGCAGCGCGTGTACGACTCCTGGCAAGCTCGTAGGTAGCCTTGTTGCCCCTGGCTGCTGTGCTGGGGTGGGGTTTCACAGAGATGGGGACCCAAACCATGTGTCCTGGTGTCTTCTCTCCCTGCCCCGGCTTTCCAGGGTTCTGGGGGTGTCTGTGACCGTCCCTCAGCCTGGGGACGTGCCTGGGGATGGAGAGGTCCTTGTTTGAAGGTGCTTGGGTTGGTGGTGGGCTGAGGGGGAAATGGAAAGGTGAATTAAGGGGTGCTGCAGGCTCCGTGTTCATCCTCTTGTCCCTCGATGTCCCCACTCACAAACCTCCTTGGCTCCTCTAGGTCCCCCAGCTTCCTCTGCTGCCTCCTCCCCTCCTGCCACCAGCAATGCTCATCCCTCCGTCTCCTCCGTCAGTGCCCAGATGCTGTCCCCAGGGCCAAACCCTGCTCCAGGCGCCCCGTTGGCTGAGGAGCCGTGCCAAGACCTGCCCACCGCTGGTTGTTCGCCTGTCCCACTCGCTGCTGCCACCACCACCAGCACAGATCTGGATGCCAGGGCCCCCGTGCAGGAATCGGTGAGCACAGCACGCATCAGACAGGGACACAAAGGTCCCTCTTGGAGCTGTGGGGTGTGAGGAGCCTGTGGTAGGGCTGGGCTTGTTGAGGGACAACCCAAGCAGCCCCTTGTTGCTGGTCTCTGGTGTGTGCTTGCTGGGTCTCGTACCATATGGCCTATGTACGGCCCTGTAACTGCTCCCCTCTCCTGCTTCCTCTCCATGGATGGGGGTGCAGGGTCTGCCCTGTTAGTTTGGGCTCCCTGATCCTGTGCAGACCCCTGGTCTGTGTGGTGGGTGCTGAGGAGAGACCCCCTCCATCAACAGAGTCACTGAGTTACGGTGTGGGGCACCCCAGACCCCCTCATCCTCGCACAGTGATTTAACACAGCTCGTTTTCTTCCAGCTCCCCAAAAACCTGCAGCAAGACAGTCCCCGGCCGCCTCTGCATGGGAATGTGGTGGCAATGGGGACCCCTGGGCCACGGGATGTCCCCCCCGAGCGGGGCCAGGACTGGCTGAGCCGCCAGCAGCACCCAGTGTGTGTGGACAACAGGTGTTTCGGCAACGCCAACCACCTGCACCGCGGTGCTCCAGGCTTGGGTCTGGGCAGGTCTCTTCCGCCGAGGGATGTGGGCGCTGCTCACAGCCCCGAGCAGCCCCGAAATGAGCCCGAAGAGGACGTCTACATCTCCACTGAGTCGTCCTCGAGGGTGGAAGTGG